ATCAATGCCAAACTGACAGCTGGAGCAGGAACACTGACAATGTCTTTTCAAAAATAAAAATTAATCCCATCTTTGGTCCACAAATGCATAAAACATTCTGTAGGAAAAAACAAAGAATGGTGCATATTTACAAAGAAAAATAAGAGGAAAAAGATACTATTATAACAACAACTCTATCTTCAAAAATAATACAAAGCTTATGAAAAGAATATACATTAACTTCAAAAAAATCTACAAAACACCAAAATTATGAAAAGTACAGAGAAGAATCACCCATAATCCTGTTGCCCATGTTTAACATGTTAGTTAACACTTACCCTGTATCAACAAACTAGCCCTCTTAATACTTCATAAAAACTTTAAAAAAACAAGAGTGATCATGATAACTTCCTCATACACTGTTGTGAGGATAAAATTTATCATTTAGAATAGTATTTGATACATAGGAGGTATTCAATAAAAGTTAGCAATTATCCTGTCAGTGTATAATTTGAAGACCAAATTTAGATTTTAATGTATATGCTTTTTCCATGCTCACAATATCTATTCTTTCCCCATCATTAATGTTTTTATATAACTAAATGGCTGTATTATGTGCTTTGGACAATAATTCACACACAAAGGCTTTAATAATTTTTTAAATTATTAATTGACAATATAAAGTTATATATCAGGCATTTAATATTTTTAAACTGTTATACATAATACTGGAACAAACATTTTGTGCATTTTTCTGGTTGTTTCCTTAGAATATATATCTAGTGGTAGAACTAATAAAAATTTTCTGAATTATCAAAGTGATAGTTAATAAATGGTAAATTTTTCTGTCTTTTCCACATCATAAATCAGAGGAATGTTAGAAGGCTTTACAAGTTATATATAGTCATGTTTAAAACTAAAAGAGAACTCTCAACAGATACAGACCATGAGGCCTCTATGAGGAAATGAAACAGGAAAAGCTCAAGAGAATGCCAAGCAAAATCATAACACAAAAGGCTGCAAGGAAACCTCCCAAGGACATGAGAGTTCTGAATACATGAAGATTACTGTGAAAATGAGAAGTAGCAAGTGTGCTTAAGAAGATTAAATATTTCTAAAACAAATGTGGATATACCTTATATCCTCAAAGGGCTGAAGAAATGTACAATTCTGAAAAATAACCAATTAAGTATCACGGATATAAAACCAGTTCTTCAACTGTTTAGGTGAAAATCACAGAAAAGACTCATGAGAAAAGCCACCTAGTACTCTAGAAAATCATAGTTAAATTTATGGGGAAAAATAAAGGAATGAGGTGATAATGACCAAGAATTTCTCAAAATGGGAGAACACATAAGCCACTGTCCACCGAGTGCCAAGTAGAATATACTTTTTTTGTTTTTCTTTTTGAGATAGGCTAGCCTTGAACTGGCTAAAACACCAAGGATGGCTTGAAGGAACCGGCTTCCCTTTTGGCAGCCATAATGGTCGAACATGTGCTTCTATGACCTTGTCCTAGAAACCAGAAAGTCAGATGCCTACCTCGTGACAAGGAAACAATCAGAAGTTAGTCACTAGAAAGTCAGATGCCTGTCTCGTGACAAGGAGCCAATCGAAAGTTAGCTGGTGGCGCTATGCTTTACGACCCTGGGTGTGCTTTACAGACAAGTGCACAGCAATGACATAGAGAGCATAGCAACCACCCTGGGAGGGCCTATGAGCCATAACAACCAGTTGACCAATCAACACAGGGCAAGCCCTCCAAGCCTGGAAGCACACCAATCGTGAGCCTGTGCGTAAGCCTGTGCGTACCCCTAGACACTCCCCTTACGCTGCCCTATAAGATCTTTTGGGAGCCCGTAGAAGCCGTCTTTTCTAGCTGTCTGCCATGGCGGGTGGGTGAAAGACCCGAGCTAACATGGGGTTAGTTCGTTAAATTACAATAAAGCCTCGTGCAGTTTGCAGCAAGCTCTCGAATCTGCCTGGTGATTGGGGTGACCGCGAACGTGGCCTGGGACCCCGAATACTTGAGTTTTCGGGGGTCTAACAGGCTTTGAACTTCTGATCCTTTTGCCTGTACCTTCGGAGTACTGGGGATAGCCTACATGTGCTGCCACACTGGACTTACTAGCTCAGGATCCAAACCAGAGCTTTGTACAAGCTAGGGAAGTATTCTACTGACTGGGCTACAGCTTCTACCCCAGAACAGACTTCAAATATACCACCAATTGTGATATGCTTCAGAATAGCAAAAAATGAAACAATTCTTAAAAACGTCAAGAAAAGTCTGTTAATCAAAAAGGAGTGTGTATCAGACCGGTAATGAGACTCTCCAGAAATGCAAAATGTTAAAAGGTAAGTATAAACCAAGAACTGTATTTCCAGCCAAGCGACCTTTCCATTGTAAGTCTACAGATACCCAAGAGCCACTACGAGCCACTGCCCAAATGCTTTCCAGGATGGGTCTAGTAACTTCCACCTCAGCACGCTCACTAACAGCCTATCATCTCAGCAAAGGGCCGGTGCAGACAGGACGGTTGTTCTGAAGGAACCGGCTTCCCTTTTGGCAGCCATAATGGTCGAACATGTGCTTCTATGACCTTGACCTAGTCACTAAAGTCAGATGCCTGTGTGACAAGGAACCAATCAGAAGTTAGCTGGTGGTGCTATGCTTTACGACCCTGGGTGTGCTTTACAGACAAGCGCACAGCAATGACGTAGAGAGCATACGCAACCACCCTGGGAGGGCTATGAGCCATAACAACCAGTTGACCAATCAACACAGGGCAAGCCCTCCAAGCCTGGAAGCACACCAATCGTGAGCCTGTGCGTAAGCCTGTGCGTACCCGTAGACACTCCCCTTATGCTGCCCTATAAGATCTTTTGGGAGACCCAAGGAGCCCCTCTTTTCTAGCTGTCCGCCATGTCGGGTGTGTGAAAGACCCGAGCTAACATGGGGTTAGCTCGTTAAATTACAATAAAGCCTCGTGCAGTTTGCAGCAAGCTCTCGAATCTGCCTGGTGATTGGGGTGACCGCGAACGTGGCCTGGGACTCCAAATACTCGAGTTTTCGGGGGTCTAACAGTTCAAGGTCAATCTTCCAGTCAGCAGACAACAACAAACTAAAGAATAAGATCTCACCAGTGTAGCTTGAAAACTACTGGTTTACAAAAGAAAAAAAATAATTAAGTGAAAAACTTTGCAAAACAGAAACGTTAAGGGAAAAAAAAAAAATTGAAACCACAACTTTATCTTCCGGAGACAGGACTAATGTTTCATTGTCAGGGGAATTTTTGTTGGTTCTGTTTTTCAAGACCAGTCTAGCCTCGAACTCATACATCCTCCTGCCTCTGCCTCCTGAGGGATGGAATTAAAGGCGTGCACCACCACTTGGCTTACAGTGCAATTGTAAATTTGGTTCTTTTCCAGTCTCGTGCTTTAATCTTGCAGAAAACACAACCCCTTTGATGTAGATCTAAATTTCCTTTTTACTTGGAAAAAAACTAAACTACAAAAGGCTAAGATATCACTATCTCCTTGGTTCCTTGCTAGGCATGACATTTACAGTGTAAGTCAGGGGTGGGGCACGTCTTAAATTACTCCATGCGTTCCCATTTAACCCACACAATAATAATGGGAAAATAGCCTCTGATGTTTCTTAGAAAGCGTGTCATACCGCATGTGGCCGCCCAGTTGGAAGATCTCATGCTCTGGTTACCCCAATCTAAGTTTAAATGTAAATTAACCTCCCCACCTTGGTCCTCTTCATTCATACACAGAGAACCACCCTAAGTTTCTACAGCCAAAGAGCTGTCCATCGCAGGCTTTGTGTCCCGACTTGACTGACCATGGACTGTGGGCAGGGAGTTAGTCGCTCCTGAGATACGAACCAACTTGGGTCGGTGAGTAATTCCATCTACTCTGGGCGTGTGACATCTTCTTACCTGCGGGATGGACCAGCGTTCAATCCGTGGAGTTACTGTACCCTGCTGCCCACAGCCCGTTACAGACCCTCAATCACCAGCCTCAAAGGAGAGCGCCCCAAGACACAGGGAGAAACACCGCC